TTGAACAAATAGTTTAGTATATAAAAAACATAGTAAACGTAGCCAAAGATATTGTTCAACGCTGGCACGTTTAATGTCGATTATTTATTCAGAATTTTCACTACTAAATTAAAAGTAAAAGTAAAAACACATAGAAGATTGAACGTTTTGACAACCGATTTTTCATCCACATTATTATTGCATTATTATCCTCGTCCAAGCGTTTTAGACCAAAGCGTTTATACACTTTTTTTTTCTTACAATGTATTAGCTACCATAATCTATCATAGACATTAGACATTTGTCTAACTACTCATCACTTCCAAATCGGAATCCAACATCATATAAAACAATCTAACAATGTTGATTTTCACACCACTCAATCTTAATTTTTTAAGAAAAAGGTTTACCATAAATTTACATATCATAAATATGGTATATAGTTATAGGATTACACCTTTAAATATTTAACATAAATTAGGAAATTTACATTTTACACCAATTTACAATGTATAAGTTTGATTTATTGTTTTGATTTTTTTTTTTTCTGTATCTTTGTACGATTAAAAATTTAATTTGAAATTATTATTTCAACAGTTTTTCAAGTAACACAGCACTATTGTATTTACTGTAATATTTCCAGTGTTTATTTTAATGGGGTTTTACTAGTAATTTTTTTAATTTTTTTTTCTGAAATTAAAAAATGATTTAAATAACGACTAGGTTCGAACAAAAGTCATTAGTCGTCGTCGACAATAATGTATTTGAAATAAAATAAAAACGAACCGTGAAATTACTATTACCGTACAACGTCGGCCTTAACACATATTGTGTCAGTGTAGGTCAGTGGTAGTAGGCAGAGGATTCCAAAGTGACGGTTATCATTATGAAAACCTTCTTCGGTGCATTTGTACATTATTAGTTATTACTTATTACCTAAACCTGACCGCATGGAAGAAAAATATGCATGCCCAGCGCAAACCTATAATTTAGATATATATATATATATATATATATATATATATATATATATATTACAATCTAAACATAATTCACTACACTACTAAACCTACACAGGCACAGGCGGTGACTTTCTAAAATCAACGCATTAATCCGAATTGTTTGTACATAATATTTGTCTGTCTCGGGAGTTTTGAAAAAGTGCATCCAACAAACACGTATCGTGTCATTAGGAGAAAAAAAATCATATCTTTTTATGTAAATAATACATTATATTAGCGGAAGACAATTTACTATCGATGGAACGCAACGTCGACGCATGTGACCTATCCGTAATTCCATAATGATTTTTTATTAGCCCAAAAAAAAATTAAAACTAGTTATTTTCTCCGCTCCACTGAAAAACATTGAATCGTCGATATGTTTTTATGGACGTAGGCCAGAACATATAATATTTAAGATTATACTATGTGTTATTACCTACGGTTAGTATAGATCTCTTATCATTTATCTATTATCACTTATCTCTTATCACTTATCTATATGCTCTTATCTCTAACTGAAAGTGATAATGTAACGCGGAAATAGCGACATGAAATTTCATGTGTATCCAGCCCAATAATATAACCAATTTTAAAATAATTATCTATCTTAACTATTTGAAACGACTAATGTAGTGAAAAGCGATGAATTTTCAAAACTTTTGGTTCGATTTGTTTATTGGTTCAAAATACCCCCAAAAAATTATAACAGTTTTAAATATTTACCTTTTGTTTTTAATTGTTTTTAAAAATGTGTACTCTCATAGTAAAAAAAAAAACCATGTTAACGTTTAGATAATAGTTAATATGTGAAATGTCATCCTCATAGCATTTATAGACTAGAAACGAGGTGGTCGGTCTGTGATGTTATTTACATTCATACTTGCTTCTTTTAATTTCAACAAATACCCACCTTTAAAAACTACCTATAAGATAATATTATGTTCCTGATTTTAAAAAATGTAGTAAGCATGGTAATTGAAAAACACATTTCCCCCCGCCTAAATGTTCATATTTTTTTTAATAAATTGCTTAATATTAAAAAATATTTTTTAAATAATTGTCTAAAAATTAGAAAATCAAGAAAGTCTACATGCCGACCCCGACTTGGCAAGACTTAACAAATCTAAATTAATTAATAAGAAACCAAACAGCTTATTTGTGCTATTTGTGATTGAACCTACTAATTTAGACAAATTTACTACCTACTAAATTTTTCGTTAGTTTTTTTTTTTTTTTGACAAATGAAAAGTGATCAAGTTAAATACTATTTTTATTTTTATTATCAAACAAGTAAATATCTGTACACGTATGTATCACACAGCTAGCTATTATTATAAGGTTTTTAGCCGTATCTTAATGTGGTAATTAATATTTTAGTATTTTTTATTTAAAGTATATATTTTTTTGTAAATATAAAAAGCAAATTGAAATACATTATTTTTAAACTAAGACTATTATGGTAACATGTCGATAATTGAGGACATCGTCGAGCAACTATTAAAGTGTTAAAAAGTGTCCATTTCATAATTTAGTTCAACTGAACACCTGAATTTTGTTTTCTCAACTAAATGATTGTTTATAAATTAATAATTAGAGAACGCTTCTTTGTCTAATATAATAACTAATTTACTTTTAAATAGGTATCTAGGTACTAATGCATTATGATTTAGTTATTCTAACAAGTTTTATCTGACTATTTACCATTGATGATTTATAGAAAACTGTATTTTTGCATTCAGATTAGTGAAATTAATTATTTTAGTTTCCTTGAAAATAGGTTAAATATAGTTTAAAACTGAAAATCCGTGTGGTATCCATAGTTAACCACAGTGGTTACGTACAAAAACCTGGTATCCACCTGTACATACCTTGTTGGTAAGACACCAACCTAACCGCCCCAAAACGAATAGTTGAAAAAAATGTAAATGATATTTCTATAATTGAAAGTTGTATTTAAAAACAAATCATGAACCTCGATGAATTTTCAATGTAATAAATAATTAGGTAACTTGCCCAAGTGTATACAAATTATAAGTATATTAAACAAATATTTACAACACAGTGATTCAAGAGAAAAACGCAGCTATTTTATTTTTACACATAATGAAACCGCATATTTTGCTGTCTCAAATAATCATAATCAATACAGATCACGTTAATATAAATAATAATATAAACTATACTATGGCCAGTGTGTGTGTGTAGATCGGGCCGATTTACACTTTTTTTCCCATCCGACACTTATTTCCAGTCCGGCCATAACAAAATATATGTGTAAAAATTAATATTTACATATAATATACACATTTTTATTTTAATAATATATTCGAGCAACCCGACATGGCGACCCTATCCCGACGGTATAGAGTGGAGCAAAAACTTATACTTATTTTTATTTCACCAACTAAATATCTGTTATCAAACGCTACTTTTGTAAGTAAAATATAAAGCAAACGAAGACGTATGAAGTACTTTTTAAATTACAATGCAATATAACAAATCCTTTCATTAGATCTTGAATATTGAGTTTCTATAAAGAAATATTATTACTATATTGATTTAGGTAAGCATATTATTTAACAGAATTTAGTCATAACTATAATTATTAGTTTTAAAAGCAATTTTGTTTGTTTTATTATTCGCATAATATTATTATTATTATTGTATCATGATAAATTAAAGGTAATATTTTGTTAGAAACTCAATTATACCTCTATTGTTTACAAACTAAAGATAATCTTTAATGAATCTTTGTGTATACTTTTAATAATCTTCAATACTTTCAACAAGTTAATCTTCACAACAAATTTTCCCTATAATTAGGGAAGGCACCTATTTTCTAGTTTTTTTTTTAAATACCATATTTACACTTAAAGTACACACAAATAACGTTTAATAATAGAATTTGCTAGGTTTTTTTAAATTTTTCATTTGCTTTTCTATTGATTTACATACTTACATTTTTTATGTTGAATATTATATTATTATAAATTATTCTAATTTAAAAATGGACAATTCGTTCAAATTTTATAAGAAAAAAGGCGCGAATGTGATAATCTTGGATGTGATGAAAAAAACATCCTCCTTTTAATTATTGTGCAGTGAAAATATAATTTTTAAAGCATAATATTTTATGCTAGCTTGGTTCAAAATCGAGCATGACAAATTTCGGCTTAGCAGCCGGTTTTAGTTTGATAATTATTATTTTAAATAAACGGATATGGACGATAATTAATTCAGTAACAACTATTAACTGTTCGCTCGAATTGAAATATATATTACCTAATACTATTACATACACTTTGGTGGAAAAAAACACCAAATAAACCTCACCTTAACTTGGAGTAAATAAATAAATAGAAATTATGCTAAATACGCCGGTAAATGGACAAAAACAAATATTCCACTCAACCCTTGTTGTAGTTATTTCGTTTTGAAGGCATTTTAGTTGAACGTTATTTTAATATTATTACACTAAAAACTAATCATTGGTACCTAACATTTTTATCTTTATTTGGGAAATTCTAGTCTTATTAATTTTTGAAACTCAATACGGTCAACGTTAATATAAAGTTAACACAATATAATATTATGTATTAATTTTTTTTAATTTAAGATAATTCACATAAAATATTGACCTATCCCCATAATCAGTTTTGAGTAATAATTCTTCAGTTGTTATTAAGTTCATTGACAATTTTCAGCGAATTATTCCTGACTAAAAGGTAGTTGATTATCTATCAAGGTACACGTTTCCGTTAAAATTGTATTCATCTTTGCAGAATTTGTTTGATAACAATATAACGTAAATGTTTTCCGGATAACTGTTGATATTTCTATGTAATTAATTGAAGGCGATTTTAGTAGTTTTTCTATAATTTGTTATGTACAATTTTTTTTTTTAAATATAATTTTAACGCTCGGGTTCGGTGCGTTTTTAAATTCTTTTCGGGTGATTGAATTCCGAGCCCCAATTTTAATTAATTATTATTATAAACGGTTGTTGGGTTTGCTCACCTCGTATAAAGCTCGTGCAGCGGATCTTGTCTGACGATGGACAATGTGTAATTTTTTTAATTGAAAAAAATAAGATATAGATCTATACGATCAACAACAACAACAACAACGATAGATGGATAGGTGACGACGACGATGATCTTTTAGATGGTCCGGCCAACCCGTGCGCGCGACGTTTGAACGCTGACCGTGTGTGTGCGCGGCTTCTCGTTTTCAACACACGTTGGTCGCGAGGCGGTTGGAAAACGCGTGGCCGCCCCACCACCGGTGCGGGCAGCGCGGCCGCCGAAATCCGTTCACTTTCATCCGGCCGGCCGCGTTCGCTGTGGTGTAACAAGTCCTCCTGCTCTCGACGACGACGACGACCTACCGACGGGGACGACATAATATTACCAAGGAGAAGAACAAGAAAAAGTGTAAGTAAAATACAAGAACCCAGAAAACGATTATTAAATGTACGAAATAATAATACACACCGCGTAGCGTGTGCGGTGCCGTTTTCGAACCCAACCGGATTGGCGCCTCGAAGAGAGAGAGAGAGAGAGAGATGTCTGTGTACGATGTGCACCCACCGTGTAGCGCTGCCGCCCGTGTACTGTATTATATTATTGTAATATAATAATATTATTAGGTATTAAATTATTATCATTGTGAAACAAGCCAAAACACGGTTAGGCATTATCGGTTCTACGCCGCGCGGTTTTTATGTAACTACCGCCGGCGGTTCGCGAACGTCCGTACGGTTCCGTTTAATAATTAGGTACCTATTTTAAAACGCGCCAGTTTATATTATATTGATTGCAAACTGTTGATACATACCTGCACAAAGGTGAGACATCTGTTAAACGTAAGACATTCGTATTCTCTTGAAAATCCACAACGAGGAACGGTCAACGAGGGACGGTCAAAAATTGATACATATTACGTATAAATATATGTCAAGCTAGAAGGATTTAAAAACAAAAACCGGATACAAAAGTGACGTTATTATTTACCACCGTGATAAACTAACTTTTGTTAAACTTTATCTTTTGTTTAATTGACATGTGTTGCTCAAAAGTTGTTTTATATTTAGGTTATTACCAGTTTACTGGTTATCGAATAAATGGTATCAGCGGTAGCAGAGTTATTATTATTATCATACAGGATATTATCAATGATAAACTGATAACGAACATTTCTATTATCACCACTTTAATGCAAAACACTGATGAGAAAATTTAACTATACATATACATTTTTACACGGCGATAAATAACATTTAAACTCCAATTAAAATTTATTTTAACTCCAGTTGAACGAGTTTATCCCTGTGTAAAAATTTGGTGCAGCCCGGCAATAGAGTATTAACTTACGTTTTCACGAAAACAACAGTATGAATATTAAGAATATTACTTAGAATAACGTAGAAACTACAACTAAGAATCAACAAATATACAGGCGCATTATACCATAATTTGTGAAAGATGTTTTTACTTAGAAGTATGATAGAAAAAGTCTGCATAAAAATGCACGTTCATTTTGTTTTCACTCTACTTTAAGAGATTTTTTGGTTTGAACTTTGAAGGGAATTTTTATACCCAACGCAATACATTTCTTGTTACTTGCAGGATTCGATTCGGAACATGTCGTTTGGTCCAGACACAAAAACAAAATGTATTAATTTATAATAAAAACACATCATTGTAACATGAGTACCTGCTCAGCTCGTTGGATCGAAGCTAATAGAAAAATGTTTAAATACAAAGTCGATTTGAACTAGTCATCGAATGCGAGTCCGACAACGTTGTCCAATTATCATTCATCAAACGATAAAATAAATATAACCAGCTATAATTTCAGTCAGGCCTTCTGTGTACATAACATCTTAAATCTGAAAACAGGAATAACGACAAAGATGATTCCGAGGTTCAACGACCATAGTTTTATTTTCTTTATAACATTAAGACGACCAACGGCCTTGACTTGTCTGTATACGACAGCCCCAAGACGAAAGGTGAACATTTTCTCTGGAACACAAGACATCATTTTATTTGACATTATAAACACTTTTGCCAAACAAAAATATTATTTCCAAAAACGAGTACTTGCTTGATTTTAAATTTCGTATCAAGTGTTATATAAAATCAAACACATTATTTTATTTTTAGAGTTTTGACACAATACATGTCTTTAATTTCCTTATGAATACCGTTAATAGACATCTAATACCATTAACTCATCACCTCAGGCACACAATGTATTCTTTTATTCACACAAGAATGCTCTAATATAAAAATAACGACTGGTCGATAACCAACCAGTTTTGAACAAGTATTTACAAAAATTTAAAAGAATTTTCGGCTTGGGTAGTAGAATCATCAGCGGTAAACTATAATATAATATTTTATCTTTATACTACTATTTTTCATTGTTAAAAAAAATCAATATCAAACTAACAAAATATGTCTGAAAAGGAAAATTTTACATTTATAAACAAACTTTATTTTATTTTATCAATTTTCTAGTTCAGTTTTTTTTCTTCAGTAAAACTTTATAGTTGGGATAAATATCTACAAATTACTAGACGGATGATTTAACTACTATCTACTAAGTATGAATACTTTATGAATCTAGAAAAAATTTAAAACAAATTGCATATATATTTTATGTCATGTAAATGACCTTTTCTCACAAGTAAAAATCTGATAGCTAATTCAAAATTAGCAAAACCCAAAAACACACAATTCAAAGTCTTTTCCACTTAAATTTAAACGAAACTAATTTTGAATAATATTTTTCTTTCGATTTAGATCTGTGTAGTTAATGGTTTTGCAAATGTGTGGTTTTATTTTGTACATATATAAATACTGTGCTGGTTTAGCCTGTACATAATATTTTATGCCTTAGAATTTTAACGATGTAAATTATTTTTCTATTAAGTCTTAATGATTTATCGTTATTAATTTGACTGTCTAACTTGCCCACGTTTTACTTGAGGGCGTTATAAGTAAAATTTGTCGCATTTATCAATTTCACGTAGGTATAAGTCTAAAATATACATAGGTATACAATATGTTTAATATTTAAATGTTTTTTTTTACCAACACTTACCCGACTTGTGCACACTGGCGTTATTATGTAAATTAAAAGAGATAGCCATTTGTATCCGTTTATCGAGAAACGTTGGCAAAAATCACAATGTTTAGGCGATCGTCTAATACTTGGAATTCTTTTAGATGTCAGACAGGTGTGTACAAAATAATATTACTTTTACTTCCTTGTCGATTCCGGTAATTACAAATCAAGTGTGCCATTGAAATTATTGCAAAAATGCAATTAAATTTAGCAGAATGTAGGTGCCATTGCGTGAAGGGCGACCCGCCTTGTGCTTCATCAGAATTAGTACCATAAGTTTAGAAATAAACTTTTTTACAATTAGTTCCCAGTTTTGAATAATTACTTTGAAGTTACTAAAGTTCAAAGTTTAATAAGACAATTTTCCTTCTACATTTTCACAGGTAACTTGGTTGCTTAATAATAAGAGATAAATTCTAAGTAATTCTCTAAAAATCAAGGAAACTTACATGACTTGGCAGACGTTTTTAAGAGAAATTGTATATGTTTTATCCATAACGAATCATCCTTGTCTAATATCAATTAGAAGATATTTTTTGAATTAACGATTTTTAAATGATTAGTGTTTAAATGTATATAGACTTGGGGGGGGAAGGTATACTGAAATGTTATTTATATCCACACTCAATTTATTTACCGGTCATTATTTCCATTGCATCATTCTGCTATTTTAATAAGTAATTATCAATAAAAATATGTATGTTATGCTGTTTGACACTTTCACGTTTGCCCTTTAAATTATATCGTTGAAAAATCGTCGCAAAGTAAAGTATGTTTTATATATTTGTATTTTTTAACGTTATACAGGATGATAATTTCATCGCGAACCACTCAATAACGCATTAATAGTTAAAAAATAAATAAATTGAACTTCAATTGTTAACTGATATGCCTACTCAATTAATCAATTTAATTTGTGTAGTTTTAACCAAAGGAACGATTGTATGCAATAATTATTCTTATTGGTTTTTATTAGTGCCTAATATTATTAGATACTTCTTTTTATGGTAAATTTGTAAGTATAAACCATGTTTTATATTTTACATGTTGTTAAAAATGTATGTATAGTTAAATTTTGTTATCAATGTTTTATCAATGATAACAATATTTATCATTGATAAGACCCTGTATGATAATAATATTAACTCTGATACCATTTATTCGATAACCAATGTACTGGTAATAACCTGAATATAAAACAACGATTGAGCAACGCATGTCAATTTAACAAAAGATAAAGTTTAACAAAAGTTTGGTGCAACCGGGCAGCAGTGTTTTTCTGTGATTTCAAGTTTTCACAAATTTGTATGTTTCTACCCCTCTTCCAACTTAATTATTTTAATACCAACTTTTTTTAATTTAATGGTAAGGTATACATTTCATTAACTTTTTAAATTAAGAACGGTGTACTAAAAATGTAGACTGGTGGAATTGTGAAAAATTTAGATAAAATTGTATAAAGACAATATCAAAAAAATAATTGAATTTCTTATTAAACCCTAAGATATATTATTGAGTGGTATACGATAAAATTATCACTCTGTATAATATTGTATAGGAAGTAGCGCTAACGGTCACTGTAGAACGCCATGTGGGATTGCTGTCCTATCTATTTATGTACATCTATTATGTATAACCATATTAAAATACGGTCAAAACACGACGGTGGAAAGAAATTAACATAAAATATCATGTTTCGTTTTAGTGTATATTACTATTACTATATTTACTGTGATAGATTTGCCGTTTTGACTACACAACCGAACCTGTGTATGTTTTTAATGGCCACGAGCAACTTTACTCGAATTGTATTTTAACGACTGACCGACCGTCCTTTCTCTCTCAATATTCGTGTATGTATTTTTTTTTACCTCTTGAACTGTTATGGTCATTACTAATTATTAATGTAACGCGTTTAACTGTGCACGACTCGACGGTAATAATAATAGTAACAATAACGACAATATAGTAAAACTTGAGTTTAGTAAAAAAAATAATGTTTTATGTTATTTTACCAATTGAAGCTAGTCTTTAAGTACTTTGAGTTAAATCTGTTGGCGATGCGGTGTGTCTATGTCACG